ATTTTAAACCGCTCCCCCAGGCCCACCACTTCCCCCTCTGTAATCCAGATGTAGCAGCGTGGAGGTGGGCCGGTTTGTAATTTGCATGATTGGACACGTGGGACGCAGTCCAGTGGGTCCTGGAAAAAGGAGGCAGTCTGCAGGGAATATCATTTTGGTTGCACCAAACACAGTTTATTCTTTAGCTTAGCTTATAAGGTCTGTTCTTATAAATACTGTGAATAAAACATGCAAAGCAAACCAGTTACCATGCAATATATACCGAAAAATACAATTTTCTCTCTTTACTCAACACAACAAAGGAAACTATAAAGATAACTTGAAAAATAATTACGCTTCTTGTCTGCATGTGACAACATTCAAGCTCCTGAGCCAAATCTGGGCCTTTTAAACGTGTAATCCAGCCCACACATCGCTTCAGCTTCTAGTAAACTTTGTTGAATCTGGTTGAAGCTGTGGTCTGCACACCAACGTGCAGCCCAAACTAAACAGACAGCCGCACCTGCAAGTTAACAAGCTAGCTAACACGGTCTGCAAGCAAAGAAGAACCGCTGACAGTTTCAGCGGAGATGGGGCGCTGAGTGGAATACTTTACCAAATCTAAAGAGATGCTTCCATTTATAACTTTTGCATTCCAATAAAAACCCCAAAACTAAAGTGTATCGTCATCGCCATGTTTGAATCCAGACACCAGCAGAGACATGGAGCCACTGAGAGAGCAGAGGCTTCAGAAAGTCACACGCAACCGTACAACTGCATGTTTACGTACATATTCAGCCTTCACTGCAGAAGCCTTAGCTTCATACTACAGGTGAGCTTTCTCAAATCTTTAAGTGAACTTTCCTAAAAAATGTTACTAAAGTGTCATGCAAAAAATATTTTAATTTTAATGTAAAACTAAAACCTGTAAAGCTGTAAAACCAAATACATGAAACTAGAAAACAGTAGAATTAAAATGCTGCAGCTGAAACTGAATGACAGAGTATTTCATTTTTGTTACTTTAAATACTATAAAATATAATATATATAACATTTACATAGCTAAAATGGCACTAACAGAAAAAACATCCTGATGTTTGTGCGGCTTGTTCACTACAGGATTGCACAGTAATAAAAACCCGTACAGGAGATGAAGCCTTTTGTATTTCAGCTTAAATACACTAAATGTTTGCAAACCTTTAGACTGCTGTAAATTATTCACCCTCACGATTTATGACTCCTTTGTTTGCATTTTGGTAACAGTGCTCTCACCTTTGAGCACCTTTGAGAAATTTACAGCAGCCAACGTTTCAGTTCTTTATTTAGTTCCCTTTTTCTGTGGTGAGAGCAGCACGAGGACTGTTCTGTCTCAGACCAGGACACCTCTGTGTGTTTTATTTGGGGAAGTAACCTCTCGATCCATCAATGATAAATTCATCCCGACTTTACTTTTCTTCACAGATGTTTTTATAATTTCGAGGTGACATCAGAACATGTACCGTTATGTTAAGATCAAACGCGGAACAACTCCTAATATCGGACTTTGCACGGCTGAGATCCGAACATCCCGAGTGTTTGCTTGGCCTCGTGGTTCACGTACAGCTCTCGTTACAGAAGAAGGGAAAAAGCAAGCATACTGAGGCATCCCTGGCTGGGCAATGTTACAGAAGTATTAAGAATTCCTCGAGCTTCATGTTTTTAGTGCTGACGTGTCTGCCCCTACAAATGTGCACATGCACCTCCCGGCATCAACCAGCACGACCATGTACCCGACCAGGCAGCAGGCCCGCCTCCTGCAGCCGGGAGCTGTTCTTCAGCACCACCGCTCAGCTGATCCCGGAGCAGCAGGAGAAACTCTGCACGCGTCCCATCAGCTTTACCAACAGTTTCAGTGCAGTGACGTAAACTCGTCAACTATGAAGCGTGTTCAGGTAACTCACCTTTCTGAGAGTTCCGGAGTCTGTGGAAGCCCTGCTGTTGACCTCTGTGCAGCGTCGAGATGCCCGAAACATTATTGCCCATGACAGGAATTCACCGCGGCCGGTTGGACTGATGCTGGCAGCTTGTTGAGCACAGAAGCGATTTTTTATTGTTTAAACGACGTCCTCCGGTCATCACCGGCAACCAAAGCGGAAGAGGCGGCAGGAGCACAGGTGTGTGGAGCCGGCGGGGCAGCGGTGAGGATGATGATGATGATGGTGAGGAGGAGGAGATGATCTGAATCCTGAATGGAGCTTTTGGCTTGTCATCAGCGGCTGAATAATCCTCTTCAGCGAGCTCAAACTCCCCCCCACCCCCACAAGTGCTCAGATCATTTTATGACTTTGTTTTTAATAATAATAAAAAAAGAAAAAGCTGTCATGTAAAGCATTTAAAATGCTATACGCGCTGTGGTTCTCAGTAAAATCGGATTTGCCACGATTCTGTCAGTGTTCTTATATAAAAAGGGGAATTTTGCGCGACGACAAAAGAAAGAAAATGATAGCAAAATAATAAAAGAGCAGGTGTGTGGGCCTAGCTAGAATCTGACAGTCTCCTCTGCTGTCCGTCTAAAATATGGACTAAGTGCAAACCACATGTGCACAGCGAGCGCCTTATTACGGCGCATGGACAGTATCAAGCTGCCCTCTAGTGTAAACCAACAACAAACAGCAAAAAACAAAAGGAGCCAATGACAGCCTGGCTTTGCTTTCCAATCCTCTTCCAGATTTGATCCAAAGCCCCGACAGGAGCTCACGTGTTTTGGCCCCAATCAAACAACCGATCGGTGTCATTAATTATCATTAGAGAAGAATTCAAGGGAGTGTGAGGTCAGAGGGAGTCAGTAATTTCAGTTTGGCTCGGCTGATTAGTGGAAGAACTTCACAGTAAAAAGAAACGCGGAATGATTCATTAGACTGACACCCCGCGCCGCCCTCCGATAAATTATTTGACCTTTACCAATTTTTTGAGACGTGTGTCTTTTTTTAACTTTTAAAGTGAAAACTGCAAACTGCTTTTATCCACAGAGTTTTTAGTACATATTCATCTGCTTGGGGAACACGCTGCTCCTCAGGTTTTCCATTTTGTACAATATTCCTCTATTTCAGAGTGCAATCTGACTCCACTGCAGCTTTTTTAAATCAGAATTTTTCCATAACTGTGTAAACCCCTGCGCATTAAAAAAGCTTGTGCAGTTGTCAGTTGCTTGTTAGAGTTTACAGAGTCGTTAGCGGGTCCAGCAAAGAGAAGTTTCTCCTGTAAATGTCTCACATGCTTTAGTTTTAATGACTGCTTCATTTCCCCAAAAGCAAACATTTCACATTTTTTCACTTTCATGTTAAATGAACCCCCGGAGATTAAATTGCCTGCAGTTCAGCATCCTGGTTAGCCACAGCAGCATTGCTTTAACATTAATGTATCATATTGTATCAGGGGGGGCATTTTATTTGTAATAAGATAACTCTCTATTGTCATTGCACAGTCATATCTAGTACAATAGTACAGCGAAACTGGAAACTGGCCCATGTCGGCACCAAGCACAACACAACTTTAAAGTGGCTTTTTTTTAAAGTGCAAGAAGGGTATTAGCAAAAGAAGGAATGACTTAATAGATAAATAAATAAAATAATAATTGTCCAGGGAGGTCACCAGGTCAGGTCAGCTGTTAGCACTGATATGCATAAAGTACATTTTGCAGCTCTGTACCTTCACATCACATCAGTTTCATTTATAAAGAGCCAATTCCCCAAAAACATTTGGCTCGAGGCGCCTCATACTGTAAGGTAAAGACCCTCCGATGTAAAGATCTTCACTGAAATCTAAACAGGAGTTTGTAGTATTTTTACATGACTGCATTTCTGTTTTTGCTGAAGTCAACGGTGCACTTTTGGACCTGTGTTGATGAGGCTCCATCGTGTCTGATGGCTCTCAGAGTGTCCAGCAGGGCACGTTGCTCTCAGACTGTCGTGTGAGGGCTGTGTGCATGCAGGAGTGGTAGTAGGAGGACCCAAAGTGCAGACAGTCTTAGACAAAAGGTGAACTTAAACTCAGATTTATTGCTAGATGGCAAACAGAGAACTAGCAAAACTAGGAATACAAATAATAAACTGAAGACAACAAATAACCTGAACTAGCAACCAGACAGCACACACAGCAAGACGAGTGTAGATCACGACACGGACACAGAGAAACACAGGGCTTAAATACACAGAGTGAGCAATCAGGGAATGGGTAACAGGAGGGAAACACAGCTGGGGCAAATCAGGCCTAACGAGACAGAGGAAGCAAAACCAGACGCATTTACATGAGACAGACTTTCAAAGTAAAACAGGAAACATAACACAGAGACGCGAACTTGACAAGGGGATACAGCTGACAGGGGAGACAGAGCAACTAGAGAACACAGAGACATAAACCATAAGACAGAACTCTAAGAAACCAAAGATTAGAAATGATAAATAATATAATAAACTCAAAAACCCTGGGTCAACGACCCAGGCATCCTAACACAGACTGCAGGCGTGTGGTTCATGAACTTTCTAAAAGTAGAAAGGGAAACTTTCCTTCTTTACCAAAGTTTACAGTTAGGCCTGACTGCTGCATGATGTTAACGGCTCTTCTGTAGTTTGTTCTGTTTAATATTCAGTCTTTCTGTTTTCTCTTCTCTTTCCCCTCAACCTCAGCAAATCATGTTAGACGTCTCCCTTTCATGAGCCCGGTTCTGCCAGAGACTTCTTCCTGTTGAAAAGGCAGCTCTTCCTCCCCACAGTTGCTAAGTGCTTGCCCATCGTGCTTCTCTCACGATGAGACACGTTTTTAACACACATTGATGTAAACATTTTGGTTTTAACAGCCTTAGTTGTTGATTTGTTTTTTTTTATTGACTTATTTGTTTTTCTATATTTTACTGCGTCATTGTTGTGCATTACATTTATTTTAGTTGCATTTTACATTGTTAAGCACTTTGTGCAGCATGGACTGTTTGGAAATGTGCTCTATAAATAAATAAACTTGACTTCTCTTTAATATCTTGAGGTTTTTACTCTATAGAGCCTGGAGGTGACAGTTGCTGCAGGCCTAATTGGTGAACGCCTCTGAAGGTGTTTTTACTGGCGGAGCCTGAAACTTGCTAAATAGTTGTCCTTTAAGGGTTTTGTTTGAGAGGAGAGGAAAAGTGCTGTACTTAACCGTACAAGGATGGAGCAGCCACTTGCCTGTACATCGTAATTTCAGTTGTGCGAGGTTTCACTTTCAGGAAGCCTGAGATTTGTGTCTGTGACAGTTTGTGATTCTATGCAGATCCAGTGCCAGTGAATCATTCTCCCTGCATAAGGATAAGACAGCCACAGACGTCCATTCTGTGTGGCCTGAGATGACCTGCGTAAGTGCTTATTGCTCCCTTACTGTTATAACACAGTTTACACAAAGTATTCGTTACTACAGGTGCTTTTGTTGGTCCTGTTGATTACAGGCAAAGAAGAAGAACCACCTGCTGGCGCAACTACCTCGCCCTGAAGCTGAGGAGGAAGTGCAATGCCACCAGCTGCTGCCTCCAAAAAGACCCTGGCACAAGTACAAAAAGTAGCAGCTCATTCTAAATCATGATGGTTGTAATCACTCAGTCATTATGACACTCCAATACATCTGCTTTTGCAATTACTGGGTTGTAAAAACAGTCTGAATCTTACAGAACTGGACTGCACCACTCAGCTGAGGAAGACGATGATCACGGCGAGCAACATCAAAGCACCAGCTGACCGTCCTGTCACGCGTTAACGTTACCGTCCACACTGTGTGTCGCTGTGGATCAGCTGTTTATCTACTAACTGGAAGGACAATGTTGTGGATGAATGTAAAAAGAACCACGTTCAGCTCAACAAGAATCAATCAAACAAGACTTTTTGGTGACCTTCAGAAGATTCAGATCCCGAATATTTCTCTTTCCACCAGAGGAGAAACACAGTGGAAACTGAACAGGGATTTAAACACGGGGCAGTAAAACTGCTACAGGACGAAAAACTCTGCTTGAAGATCTACGGCCAGCTCAGCTGAAGCTCTGGGTCTGTATGAGTGTGACACCATGCTGTGGATATTTTATGAGCCTGTGCCATTTCTGTGCTGTGGTCTGATAGGGCAGCTCATTCAGCAGCAGCGAGGAATCGCAGACGTTAACCGGAGCGTCCGTCAGACTCCAGCAGCCCTACGTCCTTGAGTTGGACAAGCAGTTAGGAAAATGGATGAATCGCTTAATTTTTAAGTTGACTAAATACTAAAAAACAGCTTCTGATTTCAGTTTAAATATTGCTTTAGGCTCGATGTTGTTCCTGTTAAACAGTTCTACCATTTCCTGTAAAGAGGAAAGCCTGGCGGAAGAAAGATGGTGTGGACGAAAGACTGGATGGTTTCATGATGGTTCGACTTTCACACAGGAATTTGTCCACTGGTGCTTTTAGACTTAATTTTGGCCTAATTTTGCTTTGGGAATGAAACTTGAAGCGAGGATCAGGGGTTGGATTTCAGAAGGAAAAGTTTGATTTCTGACTGGATGAGAGAACAGAGAACACGCTGATGTGTTTCTGATGGTCTGTTTGAAGTTCGTCTAATCACCCACTGGACTAACAAATATGCTAAAAGGTCTCCCAGCAGGTTCAACTGTGACGCTAACAGATGCTGACCGAGCACGTTGGCACTGAGACCACCCTGTTAGCACTGACTCTAGCTAAGGTTAGCATCACACTTGAGAACCTTTACAAAAAGGCAATAAAGTGGCACCAGACGACAAAAGAGATGTTTGCACGTCTAGTTCTTACTTCTAAGATTTTTTAAATAAAGTCTGTGTTTAACAAAAGCTTTTGATCATCTGTAATAGTAGATGAAAATTTGACATGGAAATCTCATATTGAGTATATTAGAAAGAAGATGGTTAAAAACATTTATATTTTGGGAAATGTAAGAGATTTATTAGATTATAAAACAATGCGCATTTTATATTTTTCATTGTTTTTCTCATATTTTAGTTACTGTATTGAAGTTTGGGGGAATACATATGAGAATACTATAAAACCTCTAAACTTATTACAGAAGAAAGTGATACGAATGATTCATAATGTTAAATATAGAGAACATACAAATAAATTATTTATAAAATCAGAAATTATTAAAATTAGGAGATTTAGTGAAATTACGGACACTATTAATTATGTTTAAGGCTAAAAATAATATTTTGCCCTTTAAGTTACAAAGAGTATTTTTAATGTGTTCAGGGGGAGAAGATAGTAGAAGGAAATTTTATTTTAAGCATCAGTTAGCTAGGACACACAAAGATTAATGAGTCCAACGGTTAGGGGTATACGACTGTGGAACTCTCTTCATTATAATTTAAAGAATTGTATAAGTTTACATTGTTTTAAAAAGTGTTACATGCTTAAAACGATAACTCAATATGAAGAATGTGAATGAAATTGGAGTTCATTGAAAAAGGATCCATTATAATTTTTTGTTTTATTTATTTTAATTTTATTTTCTCCTTGTTACTATGTGGAGTGGTATATTCTGATTGTAAATTTGTTGTTTGGTTTGGGTTAGGACCGGAGAGAAATGTTAATGTTAGTTTGTTCCCTGATTTTTGGTGCCCACTTGTAATATAAGTTGGATTGTAGATAGGGGGCGGGGTTTAATGAGAATATTTTCTTCTTCCTGCTGCTTTTCACACATGGTTGTAGTGCTTTTTGATAGAAAGTGTGGTTGGTTTGTTTGAATTGTTGTACCAAGTGTGAAATAAATAAATAAATAAATGAAATGATGTTTCCATAATCCACGATGTTAGTGCTCGACTTCAGCTGCAGTTTCACGTTATTGAGGCTGAGATTGAATGAATTTGCACTGCTGCATGTTTGGACTCGTGACGCAACAGAGCCAGACGTCACACCTGGTTTAGTCACCGTCCCCTCACCTTTATCAAGCGTTGCCTATGCTTCACATCCAGGATGGCTCTGTGTGTTCTTTAATGCCGCTAATGTTGCTTAGTCGCTCATTTCTGACACCCAGAACCAGCTGACACCGACTTGAGTCGCATCCCTTGAGGCAAGAGTTCCCCTTTATTCAAAAGTCAGAAAACCTAAAGAGCGAGGTGAGAATAAGAGTGACGCTGTGCATTTTCACAGACTCTGCAAGTTTGTGGAGGAAAAAGCTTCAAAGCTTTCGTCTCTGGGCCTTTTATGATCACTGCGCACTGGCAGAAGCCTGACTTCACAACTACATGTTAGATACAGTGAATCAGACACGCAGTCACATTTTCTGCTCATATTTTCACCTCTAGCTACAAAACCCTTTTACCTGACTTTCATTGTGTTTTTCGAGGAAGGAGATAAAAGAAAGGGGCCACGGGGCTTTCTGCAAAACAAAAGCCGAAAATCAATACGGGAAATGTTGCTTTGGACATGACTAACTTCTGAACGCCGGCACAAATAAACCGAACTTTGCTTTAGAGAAAGTGCCGTCAGGTAAAGAGTCCCAGCAGGATGGTGCTGTACCGGCCATCACAGCATACATAACAGACAGCTGACGTGAAGCACGCTGGCTTTTCATCTTTTCCCGTTCTAGTGTTTCCAAATTCAGCTTTTGCTGGACCTCCATGTCTGTTCAATCTCCAGACACACCGAGTTAAAGGAGCAGCTGGAGAAGGAGGTGAGGCAGCCGCAAAGTTGGCGTGGAGGCCCGGCTGGCGGTCGTTGTAAGCACGAGAGGGCCTGGGAGGACTACAGGAGGCTGGAGCGGACAGAGATGGAGCTAAAGGTGAACAAAGAAGAGGGACGAGAGGCCACAAGCTTACAAGTGTCCACTCACAAACACAGTGACCCAGGAGGTCTGACGTGCAATCACAGGGAAGCTTATTTCACCACGCACACAGTAACATGGCAGTTTGCTCTGGAGGGAAACAGGCTGCTGATCTCTGTCAGACACAAAAGGTCACAGCTGGGCAGGATCCTCCTTTAAAGGGACTTTTCTGTTATTATAATGTTGTTCAATGGGGATCTGATTCAAGTTGAATTCATTTCATTTACAGCCCAAAGCAGGAAATCTCAAACTTTACCTTAAATGACCCTAAAATGTGAAGCCTGCGCATCATTGCTCGTCCTTCAGTCATGATAACACTTTACTCATCATCTCAGTGGTGGACATTTGGGAACAATGTTCTCTGGCAGGAATGACAGTAACTTGAGCCAGAGACAGAATAACGGACATATGCCCCGAGTGTCTGGAAATGCAGCTCCTGGACACGTCAGGACCTCCTCTGGGTCAGAAAGACGAAGCCAACACCGACGTGCCAAAACTACATGTTGCAAACTTTCAGCTTGAGGCTGGCTCCAAAAGCCAGTTATTCGCCACTGACTCTCATTTTAAAAGGACCAACTCGAGAGCAGTAATAAACATGTTTACAGCCTGCTGGTGCAAAAAAAAGCAAAGAAAAAGAAATGGTTTGGTCTCCATTGCTCATTCGCCTCTTCACAACAACTAAAAGTGCACACAGACTGTACAAAAAAAAGGATGTGTGGACATTCTGGGTAAGAAAGCCGAAGCCATGCTTTCTAACGGCCAGCAGGGGGCGACCTGGTTAGAGAGAAGAATGGAAAAGAGCCCGGGACTCTCTCGGGCTGGGACACAAGTCAAGACTCAAATTTGAGTAAATATGTCATGACATTCATTTTTGGGAACTGTGGTCCAATTAGGAGTCAAAGAAGAGGATAAAGCAGGATGTGGTTTAGGACAGGCCCATGTTGTAGACGAGAAACTGCTACTGTGTGAGCAGTTTCAGTTTTGGTGAGAGAAATTCTGCTTTTGTATTTATATGTAACCACTGATGAACTGCACTGGTTACTAACCAAACGTTAGCGTTAGTTGATGACTTGATGATAGAACACAAATAGTCATCAGTGGCTCCAAAACCAAGATGGCAATGATCCCACAAACGTGTGTCAACATGGCAAATGTGTTCATGTTTCTATACAGTCTACCTGCAATCAACAGGTTTTGTACTGCAGTCATATTTCAGATGCTTTTAAATATTTAATTTATTTTGAAATGTTTCTTTTGGCAACATGTCGACATAAAAAGTGAAATCATGACTGCAGAAAGCTGCACCTCAAGCTAACTAGAGAGAAAACTCTGATCAGACTGCGACCAGACGTATACGCTGCTCTCCATCTGTCTCCCAATCTTGCCCAGTCTTCTCCATTTTGCCACTGATTGCTTCTCCCCGGCTGTTCCCCATCGTTGTGTCGAGGTGCAGCAGAGCCAAGTTTACCCACCGTGCCAATCGGATGTGTCGCTGGCTTACAGAGTGATAAACGCTCAGCTGCTGCCTCTATCCTTTGGCTGCCACAGTCGATTGTTTTTGTTGACATTTGTGGTTTGCCATAGCTTGAAGTAGTGACATTTTGCAAGCGACCGTTGCTGAGCTCGCACTTGATCGGTTAAACAAACCTAATTGAATTCACGTCTTGTTTGGCCCTGTTCTTTCTCCAGTGCTTCACCAGTTGTACAAATCTGCCATTTAGACACCTCCTCTGGTTTTGTTTAGTTCCTCCACCGCACCTCGGCCCTCCCCTACATCTGACAGAACTTGAATTAACACCCACCCCAAAAAAATCCAACAAATGAGAACGCCAGAGCATGCGGCTGGCATCGACCAATGAGCAACTCTCTGGAATGTCAGGAAATGACCTGAAGGTAAACTCTCCACCGCCAACACACTTACACACCTGAGCAGCAGAGTGTCTCCCCTGGGCATCCGGTACTCTCTCTGAGTGCATGTGTGTGTGTGTGCGTGGACATGTGTGTGTTTGTGTGCGAGAGAAAGAGGAGCACGGGTAACAGATCTAATAGTGGGTTCACACTGTGCACATAAAAGATGCACACAGAGCTCTCATCTGAAAGTGCTCCTCGGTGTGCACGGGGGTTCTGCCAGCAGAAAGAACTAAGCAGTCCTCAGAGTCCAGTATTGCTTTTTCAGGTGCTGCCTCTTCTTTAGCCCTCAGCTAGGCAGGAACTGAATCATATTTGACCTTTTTAGAAAGGTGGCCGATAGCGTTATTTCTCTTTGGGAAAATCTAGACTCACCTCAATCGAAAAAAGCCTCCTGGAGCCTGAGGCGATGGGATGGTGAAAGGAAAGACTTTTGCTTTGGCATTCAGAGCCCTGACTGAATCCACACTGTGCACCTGCAACACAGACAGCTCTAAAATAACTGCTCCGTAGAGCATGATTCATGCTTAGCTGAAGCGGAAGTGACCCCTGCCCTCACCCCACAAAACACCCCCACATTCAGTGATTTCACTTTTTTCACTCAAAAGTATTAATCAGTTTAGAAAAGACAAAATGATAAAAGGCAGACCTCTGCAAATCGGCCCTCTATTTTAAATAGAGATATTTAAAGGTTTCCAAATCACATTTCTTTCCCCTCCTTTTATAAAGAAACACATCTAAAGCTTTTTAATAATTTCTCAAAGGACGATGCTGTCACATGCGACCACAAGGGGGCACTGCTGGGACACGTTTCATCATGCAAAGAAGCCAGACAACACAGCAACATCTGCTCAAACACATGTATTCCACTGCTTGGAGATGAGAGATCATTTCTAATCTTGAGCCTGAAAATCTGCCATTTAGCTTAAATTTGATTTGGATACATCAGCCATCGGAAAGCTCTACAACCGAGCGCCCTTAATGTCTGTTGTGTGGCGGAGGAGCAGGATGCCGGCGTAGTGTGCTTTTGATGTGCTCGCACATGATGTGCATCCTGATTTCGCTCAAGCTGCTGCAGGATAGTTGTCATTTCCTGTGAAGTCGAGGTAGTAATTTATTAAAAAGGGAGGATGAGGAAGATGAGGGAGCGTATACGGAGGAGGTAGGGGAGGTGAGCAGAGGGGGCGATACACAGAAACCAAAAAAAGGTGATTACATTTCTCAGACCGTTGTGATCCGCGTCTTCCTCCAGCAAATCCTCCTGAAAATGGGCAAAGAAAATAGGGCAACAACCCGAACACGAGTAAAATCTGTAATCCACTGCTTTCTGTGACGCCTCTGTCCCTCCATACAGGTGTCGGTTAGAAGTGAATACCAAGCTGACAAAGACAAGAACC